CATCGGTCCTTATCCAAAATCCCTTTTATATTACACGAATTTGGCGCTTGCTAGTGTGTCACTGAAGTTCCATGTGACTCACCTGGATTCTAACACCAACCTCACAGGATTGTACATCAAATGGGTCTAAAATCCAAATCGGAATTTCCATGCTAATCAAGTCATGAAACCTGCCTTTTTATTTCTTTTCGGAGTTGTAAACAACGCATAAACAGTCAGCTCTTCATCCTTCAGCTCCTCGGTGACTATAGCGAGAAGTGGGAACCTTAAAATTCCCGATGTCCGATGTTTTGAGCATCCATCTACAGCTTGTAAGAAAGGCGATAAGGACTTCTTTGCTTGTGATGAGATTAATCAACGCTTTTTTATTTAATAAGTTGAATTTTTCATAAAACACTGACTTAATTCGTAACAATTTTATTCATAATCCTTTCCAGAATGGAATGGGATGATGGTGTCTCAGAGTGCAACAAAACAGCGAAGACAGTTTCCCTTGCAGAGCCATCTAACTTCTGTGTACAAAAGTAAAACTTACAAACCTTCAGTTCTCTTCACAAAACTGCTAGAAACGACGATCTTCAAGAAAATGCGATTTGATATCGTTGATAGCTATCATAACACTTGAGAGTGAATCATTTAAGCGCCCTCCCAAGTTGTTATCCACTAAGTGCTCTCGATGAAATACCCAGTGAATTATATGAACAGAAAGGGGAAAATTTTTTACTGGACGGTAAATCCTTTATATATATCGTAATTTGGAACATGGATATGCAAAGGGCGCAGCTGTACTGTGTACTCAAGAATAAGATATTTTTCAACCAGAACACTGCAACTGCCGGTAATTTCAGAGTCGTCACACATACGAATCAATCCATCAAGCTTGAGTATTGAAACAATTGGCGGAGCCCAATCCGACTAATATACTGGTACTTTGACGCCACTCTTCTGTAAGCGATCAGTTTCTTTTACCTGCAATCTTAGCACATATGGCGGCGATGGAGTGTTGATGAATTCTGATTGTGTGCTATGTACAATGTAGATATTAACTTGTCCACCGGTGAACTTTCCTTCCTCCGGTGTCTCAATTACTGGTGCATATTCCTGGAACAGCGTTTGTATCTCCGATGGTAGGAAAATATGGTTTATCAGTAGAACTGGAAGCTGATTGATCCAGTCGAATCCCAGTAGGTTTGGACCATCTCCGATTGTGATGTAAATGGTTCCTCGGGTTGTCGATCCTCCATATGACACCACGTCCTGCACACCCAGCAGTTTCACTTCAGCACCCATGTATGTACGCAATCGCAGAGGTGCCAGACACAGTCCGGTGTGGCTCGTCAGTGTCAATCTTTGTGATCAAGTTCATTCGTTGCAAAACGTTACTGCACTGCCCGTATCAATTTCGAAATGCACTGGACGTGCATCGCCAGACAGACCGTGGCTCGTGAAAATCAATCACAACAATATCTTCCGACGACGCGGAAGCACCATTTGTTGCACACGCAGCTATGTTCTGTGTTGGAATGGAGTTTTCAGTCTGATAGCTGTTGACTGCTTCAAATATGGACAGGCCCTTTTGTATGAATTTTAATTCTCCTGGCAAATAGCATCATTTCCACTAATTCACTATCACTGACTAATCGGATGTATGCTATGAGAAGAGCATCGTTGTCCGATAGATTACATCCGTCCGATGGCAACTAGAATGCTCTGCTTTACACTGCAGAAAGCAACTAAGGTACTTGCTGTGTCCTGATCCATCTCATCTATTCGGCTAGATACGGCCTAAATGGCGGGCGGAATGCCTTGAACTGCTTCTGGTGGATTCGTATACATCAGATTCGACAGTATTATTGATACTGAAGGCAAGATAGTATTTTCTCCAACATTATGTGGACTGCAATTTTGACAATCAACTGGGTGATTTTATTGTACGCCATACGTCAAAACGCCTTTTTTGCCCTGTCAAAAATCATTGTCACTAAAGTTGGTCGGTTTGCTAAACTATCCAGCAGCTTTCTGAAAACATCCGCTGACTTTCCGCTTTCATCCTTATGAACACTTTCCAAAGCATTTTTCAGTTTACTTGGTCACATACTTTCATTTGAAATTGTTTTGGCAAATTAAACTTAAAGGTAGACTGAGGTTTTCTGGTGATGCGATAAATCCAGATTACAGGAATTGCACGGAGTACTACCGACATTACTTTGCCGAGCAGCTCATTTCTGTAATATCCACTATATCCACTATATAATTATATATCTTTTGTTTTAATTTTTTACTCATTTAAATCATGGGTATTAAATAACATCATTTGACAAGATGAAGCACGCCGGTAGCAAGAAGGATTGGTGGCACTAAATTTATTTGCTTAACCGTGTGCTTCTAACATACGACATTTGGTAAGCATACTTGCAACATCTGTTGGTGGCTACAAGTTGCAAGGTACAAGTGTAGAAACACTGTTAGCGCCAAACTAGAAGTGGTTTCTGAGGATGACTTTGAAAATACCGTGGATAGCTAAAATGACTACAGAAAGCTTCTTGACAAAAGCCAATGAGGAAAACAAATGGAACTCAGATATTGACAATGCTCACTAGACACACATGCATTAGAGGAAGGTTGTAGCAAACAGTGACAACGTAAAATGAAGGACAGTAGAGACAAACCCAGAAGTAGATGCCGGATAGTTCAAGAAACCGGTATGAGTGAGTCAACAATGAAGTAATAACGTAAATCCGTTATTGTCAAATCTGGCGCCCAGTGCCTGTTCGTCAGGCATGTGATTATTGTGTGCATTATGGGAAGCATCCCTATGTACACATTGCGTTATACATAATAAAAATAACACTGTGTCAGCTATACTCCGTAACAGCGCTTCGCTACCGCGCGACCACCACCAGTCGCACGTGGGCTGAGTATACCGCGAGGACGCCTACCCCTACATGGATTCGAACCCGGGCCACAAGAGTACGAGACAAGCTCGTTGCCCCTAGGCTACGGACCGGATGACCATTCGTATGGTGTAGTTTGACATAATTGCTCATTAATTTGAAGGTATATATATATATATATATATATATATATTTGCAACAGCCTGGGAATAAGCATGGATCCATCAAAAACCATGGAACTCAAAGGTACAGATATCGTTACAAAACACAACAAGGAGGAATCCATGGTTTTGTCAGAGGGTAATGCACTATCCGGTTTTCTAAGCCAAAGTAGGGTGTTGGATTAGGGGACACCACCCGGAGCCTTGAGCCGAATTTTCTACCCGCAAGGCAGCGGAACGAATTCAGGGGATCGCGCCCGCTGGGAGCCGGTGACTGATTGTCCAGTTCCTACGCTTTTCGTTTGTTCCTTTTCCAAACATGGACCCAATTATCCCCACAATTTCAGCATTAAGTTGCGGGAATACAATGCTTCGCCAGTATGAAGCAAGGGACAGTGACTTTATTTAGTAGCCACTCACATCCGCCAAGTCACAATGTTGTTAAACGGATATCTGTGGCTTTTTATAGGGAGATCGCTTGCCAGGCGAAAATCCACCACGTCCTGGAACACTGCCGCCGAACGATTTGCTGGAACGTAGTAATCCTGAACCAACCAGCTGGCACCACGAGGAGGTTGTTCGGAAAGCCAACCAATTTGGAAAGTTCAACTGAACAGAGTGTTAAGGAAGCATTATACGTGTCCTAGCTGTTTCGACTCTAAGTCGGAACGAATGGACGTTCTTTAGTGATAGTACCCCACGCGTACAGAATAGCCAATCGAATTTGGAACCTTGCTGACTAACGTGACCTAACCGCCGGACGTACACACGAACTGAGACTTGAGACGTAAAACGCGTAACCCAGCGCTGCCGCATGTAGACCCGAACGAGAAAGTGACCGGCACATTTGTCAAAACAGTGCTAGTGTACTGAGGAAATCTCAGTATCAGTGTGATTTGTGCGGTCACTGCCGCAATGTGTCGAGGAGAGTTTCTTGGGTTCACTGCAGTTCGCACAGTATATGTATCAGTGTCATGAGTAGAGCTCAGCTGGTTCACTGTTGATACACATCGGCTATCAGTTGCGCAATTAAAGTCGCCGTATGGTGATTGTGTATTTTAGGTGAGCTCGGCGAAATCTGCACAAGTTTGACGGAGCTGACTTTCACACCTTCATAAACAGCCACTTGCGTGCGGGTGCCGGTAGCGGCCAGAGGAGATTGGCGCACAAACAGAAACTATCAGAAAAGTTTTTAAAATGCGTTTTATTTTTTGTTTTAGTACTACCCACTTTTCACAGGATGGCCTTCTGTGGCCCCCACGTGGCCCTCCTAAAATGTTTTCTCGCCCAGGGCCCCCGGCGGATTTTCTATGGCTCCCCTTGAGAATGGCTGATGTAGACAACAAAACCTTTGGGCTTGCTCCAATCAACAATATGAATTATGCGTTTTTCATCTGACATCATTGGGAATATCCGTATCCCGTGATGTAGATGAGGACTACAGACTGTTCTCCGAGCTGGGCGATTGGATCACTGAAGTCTTACTACGCTCGGTAGCATCATCAGTGCACTCTTCAGGGCCTGATTCTCAGTTCCCGGTACACCGCTTATAGATTGAGGCGGTTCGATCGAGCGCTGCTTGAATGTAGTCGATAAATGGGCGCAAATTTAAGCTTACTAGTTTACTTTGCGCCAATTTAATTATACTTAGCGGACAAGATTTTGTAATGGAGATTATCCAAACTGTCTGTCAGTGGCTGATAGTCACACGCAAATTGTCGTGCTATTGATGGCAACTTACATCAAATTCCGTTGACAACTTAAGAGTTAATTTGAGATATCTTGGTATCATTTCACTGTCTTGGTGGCAATTTATGTGGATCCGCGAAAAGATGTGGTCACAACCAGAACCAGTCGATTGCAGATGGTACAGGGTTGCGCTCTCTATACTGAAAGAATTCAGTTGGTTCCGTTTAACAATGCTATGTTATATCTGCTTGTCCAGGTGTCAACACTGGTGATCCCAAAAATTCGAGCAGATGAAGCCGGTGAGTATACTTGCCGTAAAGCCAACGAGAATTCAACGCTCGAGGCTGCAGTCGTAACTTTGGATTTGCGGCCTCGACTTTTGGCGGATTATATGCCACTGGCGCCGACAAGCGTCAAAGAGTCAGAGGCAGCTGTTGTGGCTGGTCGTCCGGTGTTTGTTGCCCTGGAGGAAGGTCGCGAGGGAGAACTCGAGTGTCGTATCAATCCGAATCTGACAGTAGACGATGTTCATCTGACGTGGTACTTTCAGGGACGTCAATTAATCGCTCCTGCTTCTGCTATTGTTGGTAGCAGATTCCACCAATCCTACGATAATGAACTCCCTTCATCTGTAGTCGAACCGGAGCAGTTTATGAACGAGGAGCGACCGGTGGAAGATAGTCAAATGTACAGACTTCCGTCTGGCGGTCGCCCTCTCTCAGTGGATCCAAGCGAACTTGGAATTTGGCTCCTTGAGAATGGACAGGTGAGTTGACAAGTAGTGAAGTAATGAACCATTACATGTTGCGAATCTCCACACTGTTGAGCCAACTATTTGACTGGTCTACTGAGTTAAAACTTGTGAAAATTAGCCGTTGAATGAACGGAAAATACAGGAGATTTCTATTGTCTATTCTGCCAACTTGGCCCTACATTATATGCAGAAAGTTAATTGGGACCGGGAATACTGGTAACAAGTAATCGAATTGGTCATATTCTGGCCAATATCTATGGTTGTTTGTGTGGGAAGGCCACCTAGCCTAAGATGGTAAGTAATGCGCCTTATCGTACGAGGGTAAGTAGCACAACTGGAGCATTCCGTAAAACGACACCCGGAAGCAGCACACGGCTCGAAAACACATCGGTTCGGCAGCCGATAAGATGACTATCTGCTGCCTGGTTATCGTTTGACTGCAATAGGTTTATTTTGTGGCTTGAAATGTGAGTCAATTCATTGCTGTAAAAAGCGAGCACCGGGAGACAAACATTTATAGGTTGGACTCAATGAGTCACCCTTTCGGAACTCGTCAACAATACGTTTCCCGCAGCCAGGTGTAGGTCGAAGAATCCTGACCCAAAGCCTACAAGCTAGATCCCAATGCGTTAGAGGCTACCCGACCAATCTGCTAGTTGTAGTACAGCGAATCTCACGCACTTTCAAGCCGGATTAACATGTCACCTAAATCTGAGTAGACGATACAGAAGTGAGTATTCTTGTTGTTACTTTTACCATGGAGTACATCAACTATGACTGCCCCTTGTTGCCTCGTCGTTTACATTCAATTCCCAATTACACTACTATTACTCAGCGGCAAATCTGCCGGATAAATGTTCAAACAGACAACTCACCTATTTTTGATAATTGTAGTTTACCCCCACCATCCTGCGGGACTTGTCAGGCAACTGATTTTTTACCCGGCATACATCATTGTTTATTGCTCTGTCTCATTTCACGCTGACTGACGGGAATTCACTCATTCATGCAAACTACTGACTTCTTCTGAGGCCCCTAAGCTTAGATTTCTGATTCAATGAAATGGACTATCGTATCAACACGTCATCAGACTGATGCGATCCGCACTACTGCAGGATTCCGAGAGCCAAAACTTGCCGTTCACTGCCTTTTACTGACGGTATCTGATGTACGATATTCAAACTATTCCATCCTAGTTCTAACTTAACGGCTGGACACTTAGGTTGCCCCAGACAAATTTAGCCTGGAAGCTGCATACCCGATTGTTGATACGTTCACAAGTATTCGTTCCGTGTGCACATAGGCATTTCTTCCCAAGTCGTACCTATCGTCAACAGTACTCTTAGCTTGATAGTCCCGAAAATAACCTAAAAAGTTAGCTTACCATAACGCGCATGTTTCAAAATCTTGTGATTGGCAATTTTCATGGTAATGGTTAAAAACATATACCATAGCTAATAATTTGCCAAGGAACCAATAAAATTTTCCTTCGTTAAAAACAAATTCCCTTCTTTCATCCTCCTTTTATCCCGCTCAACTGACGTTCTAAATTAAAAGTCTTCATATTTAATGCCAAGTTAACGGAGCGAACTATTGAATTCGTGAGACTGTGAGCTAGTGATAGTGATGGGAGAGTTACACCAATTTTACCCCACGAACAATATCGCTACAAGGTGTATGCTTCCGCCGGTGCGCACTACTGACGCTTTGCTGCCGCCGAAACACAAGCAGTCGCGCCTGGGCTAAAGGCACTTAGATTGTCTCCCGGTCCTTACAGGCTACTCTCAGTTTGTCCAGGAATCAGCATCCCTTCAGTATTTTCAGATATTTTCCTTTTCATCATTTTCTTGAGAAATTTGCAATTGGCCGTTAGAAATCAAATAGACCATCGACCATTCTCAGTTAGTAGTCCCTGCACATCACGCTAGTATCTTATATTGTCCTTTCTTTTGGCTTACCAAACAGCGAGCGATTTTCTCATGGACGCAAATGAAGGTACTTCGCCCCGGTTTGTTTGCCATAGCGCGTGGAATTTTATTACAAAGCAAAATTTTGCTGGAATTTTGTGGTCAGCTTAATGATTATCCTAATGTTGAACCCCTATTTTCGCTTCTGGGATTCCGTGCCAAAGCTGAAGCACCTGCGTTTACTGAATCCTTCAGTAGAATCAGTTCACTTATGTAAATGTCTTCACACATATACCTACTGACTCCCGAAATGTTATGCTGAGGTGATAAGCGTTTGCGTTGATTCTGTTGCGTACAACAGAAGTTAGTTCAAACGACTGCACAATCATCGATCGAGCCAAATAAGCTGCATCCTGGCCATGGATGCCGTAGGGCATACCGTTACAAATTATGCGACAAATTGGCTGACTGTTTTTTCGGTGAATTTTCTCGAGCCTGGCTGTTTAAAAATTGCCGTTGCACAGTCAAAAATGGGGCACTAGTCACTTTGCTAAACGCTGTACACCAAGTTTCTCTTTTGGTCTTGTCGATTTGAACAATGAACGATGATTTATCACAGGTAGGATGGTTGGAGTGAAAACTGAAAGTATGAGTGAATCGTTATTTTAAACTTCACTGTTTTAAGTGCGCTGCTGCATAACATTCGTTTGAAATGAGAATTGAATGTGTGCACACTAAGTTATATGGAGAGTGGTTATAGTTCAGGTAATCCGTAAGAAAAAAGAAAATTTGCTGCATTGCGTTCCCTCTGTTTCTAAACAATACGATGAGAAGATGGGGTTGCAAGATGATATCATTTAGTGCTCTCTGCGCACATGCAAACGAACCACATACTAAAAATCACTGAGGGAAAGAATCAATAAGTATATTGCTCACTGAAAGAGGGAGTATGCACAGAACGTCATGATGAGCATCTTGCAACGCCTGTCTTCTCATTATATAGTACAAAAATATACAATAACAACACTCACTTGTGGGACACATCCTTGGACCAATGTGATAAGTAAATCCAGTTTCCATAGTAGCATTGACTAACAGTTGGAGTGTAAGAAGTGCAAATGTGCACTTTTATTGGTAATGTTAAATTGATATCCGAAAGTGGAGGGTTTTAAGGCGTACTGTAACTACACGAGTGTATTATCGAAACGTTTTTGTAATACCGTCAGTGTGCTGGTGGGCGTTTCAACATTGGCACACACGAGGTGAAAAGATATTATTCAGTGGTTCAATGTTGTATGATGGGATAAAAAGCATAACTTTACAAGACCCACAGGATGGATATGCAAAAGAAAATTAAAAGCAGAATGTTCCAACGTGGAACGTAAAATATCAGTGGTTAAATCATTGCACTTTAGCAGTGTTGTGTATCGTTTATCACTATGATGAAAATCTAAGAGTCTTTCGAATGTCGTCATGTCTGGTGCATTCACCACATAGTTTGGTAATGCATTCCAGTGAGAACAGATTCTAAGTGAGAAAAAATACTTTCTACAATTCAAACGGGAGTGTTGCGTCATTAGTTTCAGTTGGTTGCCTCGGTTTTGTTTGTATGGGGCTAGAGTCAACAGTGATGTACATACATGCTCGCTTTCGGTTAGTGTCCGGTATGTGAGAGTAAGATCTCCGCGAAGCCGTCGGTATTTTAATGTGAACACACCGAGTACACGAAGACGCATTTCGTAACTTATACCGGATAGTCCACGCGTTGCCCTTGTGGCTCTTCTTTGGGGCTGTTCCAAGAGGCGGATGTCTCGTTTTAACCATGGACACCAGGCATGAATTGCATATTCAACATGAGCACGAATGTAGGAGTTAATCAACAATGGTACTAGCTGTCGCTCAAAAGTGCCGCGAGCTCGCCTCAAAAGTTTCAAGTTCATGTTCGCCGCACTTGCTGCTTTCTAACATTGGGGCGAATTTTCAAGACTCTCTGGCACAATTATACCTAAGTCGCGTTCACTAGTCACGTGTAGCATGACGTGTTGCCCCAAAAGGTATGTGTTGACGAAGTTGCTGCGCACCGTCAGCAGGTGGCACTTTGCAGGGTTCAGTGGGAGCTGGTTCTTTTCTGCCCATTCTTTAATCCGGGTCAGATCATCCTGGAGGTAGACACGGTCGGATGCTGAGCGAACTGCTCTCCATATTTTAGCATCGTCTGCGAATATTTGCATCGGAGATAGAATGTCTGCTGGAAGGTCATTAATGTAGACTACAAATAGTAGCGGGCCGAGGACGGATCCTTGTGGCACATCACTGGAGACGTAAAGGCTTTCAGAATAGGTGTCAGCTACTCTTACCTTGATTGCTCTGTCGTGTAAGTAGTCTTCCAACCAGGTGAGCAAGGAACCGCTGATACCGTAGGCAGCAAGCTTTTGGAGGAGAAGTGATTGACCCTGTCGAATGCTTTAGAAAAATCCAGGTATATCACATCTATGGGCACTCCTTCATCAACCGCCCTGGTCCATGAATCCTGAGTAATCAGCAAATTGGTAAGACAAGGTCGTTTGCATCGGAAACCATGTTGGGCATTAGAAATTATCTGTTGATTTTCAAAGTATCTCGTCAGTTCATCTGCGATTACCGATTCCATAAATTTCGACAAAACCGTAAGGAGAGTAATAGGTCGGTAGTTAGCATGATCCGATCGCTTACCTCCTTTATATATTGGAGTGATAATTCCATTTTTCCACTCAGTGGGAGTGTATGGGAGTTAAGTAGACACTGGAAAAAGGTTGCAAGTGGTGCTACTATGGTGGGAGCAAGCGATTTTAGTAATTTTGGGCAGATCATGTCGATTCCAGGGGCACTGTACTCCCGGAGAGACTGTAGTTTGCTTGCAACATCTGCTGGAGTAAAGGTGACGCTGGGTAAGCCAACGACATTTGTTTGGAGTTGATAGGGCGAAGGTTCCATGACATTTGTAGCTACCGAGCCAAACTGCAAGTGTAGAGCATTCGCGGCATCCACAGCAGTAGTTGTTAGGCCACTTGCCGTCCTGAGTGTTGGTATTCCGGGCTTAACCTTTTTTTGCCATTCACAAATCCG